GGAACACTTACATTAATTTTAGATTTTGGTTTTCCCATAGAGATCAGTTTTTCATTTTGTCGACTGTTTGAAAACTGTACAGCTGAGCTTCTGACTGAAATGATTATTGCCATGAAGAAGAACTCATCGTTAACAACCTTCAAACTTCCTGGAAATAGGCTGGGTAAGTAGTGGGAAATATAGCAACATTCTTGGAGTGCTTTCTTCCCTTTGTGGAGAATGAGTTAGGGCTCTGGCTGCTCTCAGATTTAGCTTTGACTGTTGACAAAATAAATTCTTGCCTGTGGTGATTCAGATGAGAACCTATTGATAATTATATATATTTGACTTTTCAAGAATCTAGACTATTGTCCCAAGCAACTTTCTTTCAAAAGGCAACTGGAGTTTCTTGTTTTGCTAGAAGTCGTTTCACTTTTCCTCCAAGAAGTTCCTTCAGTTCTGACTGAATGGTGGAGGATTTATATTCTTTGCAGTCATCTGGTCGTTGGCACTCTTTCCGAGAGTCACTGAGGCCACTTGGAGGTTTATCTGTGCCCTCAGGGTCAAAACTTGTAGTCTGCATTTTTGCCCACTAGAAATTCATTCATTATCCTGCACAATTCAAAGGGTATTTATCCCAAATTGTATAACTAAATATCTGTGGAGATTTTCAGTTGTCCTGGTGGATGACTGGATGACTGAGAATCTCCATAGACAAATCTAGCCTATTTTGTATTTCCTACTACTGGCTAAATTGTTTAGTGTACATTAGATTCCAACATGTTTTATTTATTTTATTGCTACTTTCGCAATACAGTTAGAGTAACTAAGTTTAGAAAGGGATGCACATATCTAGAATTACAACTTTTGTGCTTGTAGTAAAATGAGGTAAGGACTGATTGCCTGTCAATTAATTATTCTGTTTTTAAAAAGGAACAAAATTCTCAGGTAATCCTGTAGAAGCAATAAGCAAGTAACTAAGTGTGGAGAAGTTTTATCATTGATGTTATCAGTATCTGCTTTGCTGGAGCTTTGGGATTCTTGTTTTAGTTTTGTTTTAAATATGATGAAAACATTTCAAAGGGATTATGGCTGGATATTACATACTGATTTATGACCTGCAATTATGTACTATTCAAAAGCTAGAATAGGCCGTTCTTTCATGATGATTTTGTAGCCTAACAGGTGTGAAACACAAATACACACAAAAGGGAAAATGGAATAGAGAATAAGTATAGTAAATAAGAACCATTATGTGTTAATTAGGGTTGTACACAGACTAACTAATCCAATGTTTCTCAACCTTGCTTAATTAAGATGTGTGAAGTTCCAAGTTCCAGAATTCCCCAGCTAGCATGGTTGGGCCCATTTTTAAACCTTCTGACCGATTTCAATTTCTGTGGCAATTTATTAATTTAAAATATTGCTAAACCACTTGTCATGCCATGGGTCATTAGGAAGTGCATTCCATTATGCACAGTTTGAAATGCAATAATGTACCAATACAATTGATATATTTAAGTTTTATATATATTGGTAGTTGAGTAGTTGAGAAGTTCCATCATAAAATATTAAATGTTTTTGGCATCAACTTTATTTCAATTTATGTACATGCTGAAAACATACACTATATTGCCAAAAGTATTTGCTCACCTGCCTTTACTCGCATATGAACTTATTGTACATGACATCCCATTCCTAATCCTTAGGGTTCAATATGACGTCGGGCCACCCTTTGCAGCTATAACAGCTTCAACTCCTCTGGGAAGATTGTCCACAAGGTTTAGGAGTGTGTTCATGGGAATTTGTGACCATTCGTCCAGAAGCACATTTGTGAGGTCACACACTGATGTTGGATGAGAAGGCCTGGCTCTTAGTCTCCGTTCTAATTCATCCCAAAGGTGTTCTATCGGGTTGAAGTCAGGACTGTGTGCAGGCCAGTCAAGTTCATCCACACCAGACTCTGTCATCCATGTCTTTATGGACCTTGCTTTCTGCATTGGTGCACAGTCATGTTGGAAGAGGAAGGGGTCAGCTCCAAACTGTTCCCACAAAGTTGGGAGCATGGAATTGTCCAAGATGTCTTGGTATGCTGAAGCATTCAGAGTTCCTTTCACTGGAAGGGGCCAAGCCCAGTCCTGAAAAACAACCCCATACCATAGTCCGAAGTGGCGCAGTGGTTAAATGCAGCACTGCAGTCCACTTCAGCTGACTGCAGTTCTGTAGTTCGGCTGTTCAAAT